TGAGCGGGCCTGGGCCCCCCCCCCCCGTGACCCCTGTGACCCCTGTCCGTCTGTCTGTCCCAGAGCTGACCCTGTGTGTGTCTGTCCCACTGACCCTGTGTCCGTCTGTCTGTCTGTCCCACTGACCCTGTGTCCGTGTGTCTGTCCCTGTGCCCAGAGCTGACCACGGAGCTGGCCCTGCTGACCCCACTGACGCTGTCTGTGTCTGTCTGTCCATCCCAGAGCTGACCCTGTCTGTGTCTGTCTGTCCCACTGACCCTGTGTCTGTCTGTCTGTCCAGAGCTGACCACGGAGCTGGCGCTGCTGCCCCCGGGCCCTGCGTTCTGACCCCGCTGTGTCCCACGCCCTGGCCCTGCTGACCACACTGACTCCTGTCTGTCTGTCCCACTGACCTGTCTGTCTGTCTGTCCAGAGCTGACCACGGAGCTGGCGCTGCTGCCCCCGGCCCTGCGCTCAGACCCCTCGGTGTCCCACGCGCTCGCTCTGCGCGCCGCCTGGGCCCTGGGGCTCTTCAGCCGCTTCTTCCGCCTGCACGGCTCGGCCCCGGCCATGGCCCCGCGCCTCATCGACCTCTTCGCCGAGCGCGAGCGGCGCCGCGCCCTGCGCGCCTGCATCAAGGCGTACGTGGGGCTGGGGGCGTGGGGAGGGGGCACCGGGACCCCCGGGATGGGGGCCCCACCCCTGCTATGGGGTCCCACCCCTGCTCTGGGGCTGGGCCCCCCCGGTCGGGGGCCGCGGGTGCCCCCCGGCGCCCCCGGCCCCCCCTGACCTCCTTCTCTCCCCAGCTACCGCCCGGCGCTGCCGACGGCCCAGCTGGGGCCACTTATGGGGCTGGAGCCCCCCGAGCGCCGCCGCTTCCTGGGGGGGCTGCCCCTCACCTTCACCGGGCCCGACCGCGGCGCCATCGACTGCCGGCAGAGCCTGGCCGCCCTGCCCCACATCTGACCCACGGCTGAGCCGCCCTGCCCCACATCTGAGCTGACCCATGGCCGCCCTGCCCCACATCTGACCCACGGCTGCCCCATGGCAGGGCTGCCCCACAGCTGAGCCACCCCATGGCCGCCCTGCCCCACAGCTGACCCATAGCTGAGCCGCCCCATGGCTGCCCTGCCCCACATCTGAGCTGACCCATGGCCGCCCTGCCCCACATCTGACCCACATCTGACCCACATCTGACCCACGGCTGCCCCATGGCAGGGCAGGGCTGACCCACAGTGGGGCTGACCCAGAGCAGCCCTGCCCCACATCTGAGCTGACCCACGGCAGGGTGGCCCTACAGCTGAGCTATGGCTGCCCCATGGCAGGGCTGCCCCACAGCTGACCCACAGCTGCCCCACAGTGGGGCTGACCTAGAGCAGCCCTGCCCCACATCTGATCCGACCCACGGCTGCCGCACAGTGGGGCTGGCCCGCAGCTGCCCTGCCCCACATCTGACCCACAATGGGGCTGCCCCACAGCTGACCCATGACTGCCCCATGGCAGGGCTGCCCCATGGCAGGGCTGACCCACAGCAACCCTGCCCCACATCGGAGCTGCCCCATGGCCGCCCTGCCCCACAGCAGCCCTGCCCCATATCCGAGCTGTATTTGAGCTATGGATGCCCCACATCTGAGCCACGGCTGCCCCATGGCTGCCCCACAGCAGGGCTGCCCCACATCTGCCTCACCGTGGGGCTGCCTCGTATCTGATCTGCCCCACAGCAGCCCTGAGCCACAGCGGGGCTGCCCCACATCTGACCCACAGCCACCCCCGCAGCCTCTGTTCACCCCAAAACTACCCCAAAAATCACCCTGAAATCACCCTAAAACTACCCCAAAAATCACCCCAAAACCACCCCAAAATCCCCCAAATCCCCCCAGAACCCACAAATCCCCCCGGAATTTGGGGAGGGGGCGGAATTTGGGGTCCCCCCCTCACCTTCAGCTCCTCCTCCAGCTCAGCCGCCTTCAGCTCCAGCGCCCGGCGCTCCTGGGGAACGGAGAATTTAACGGGAAGGTTTGGGGGAAACGTGAGGGGAAAATGGGAAAATGTGAGTGGAAAATGGGGGAAAAACGTGAGGGGAAAATGGGGAAATGTGAGGGGAAAATGTGAGGGGAAAATGGGGGAAAACATGAGGGGAAAATGTGAGGGGAAAATGGGGGAAAGTGAGGGGAGAAAAGAGCGGGAAAACGTGAGGGGAAAACGGAGGGAAATGTGAGGAGAAAAAATGGCAAGAATGTGAGGGGAAAATGTGAGGGGAAAAAGGAGGAAAAACATGAGGGGAAAATGGGGGAAATGTGAGGGGAAAATGTGAGGGGAAACGTGAGGGGAAAACGGAGGGAAATGTGAGGAGAAAAAATGGCAAGAATGTGAGGGGAAAATGTGAGGGGAAAAAGGAGGAAAAACATGAGGGGAAAATGGGGGAAATGTGAGGGGAAAATGTGAGGGGAAACGTGAGGGGAAAACGGAGGGAAATGTGAGGAGAAAAAATGGCAAGAATGTGAGGGGAAAATGTGAGGGGAAAAAGGAGGAAAAACATGAGGGGAAAATGGGGGAAATGTGAGGGGAAAATGTGAGGGGAAACGTGAGGGGAAAACGGAGGGAAATGTGAGGAGAAAAAATGGCAAGAATGTGAGGGGAAAATGTGAGGGGAAAATGGAGAAAAACGTGAGGGGGAAATGGGGAAATTTGAGGGGAAAATGGGGAAATGCGAAGGGAGAAAAGAGCGGGAAATGTGAGGGGAAAAAGGAGGAAAAACTTGAGGGGAAATGTGAGGGGAAATGGAGGGAATTGTGAGGGGAAAAATGGCAAAAACATGAGGGGTAAAGGGGGTAAAGTGTGAGGGGGAAATGGGGGAAATGTGAGGGGAAAAGGGCAGGAAAACATGAGGGGAAAAATGGAGGGAAATGTGAGGGGAAATGTGAGGGGAAAATGGAGGGAAATGTGGGGGGAAAAATGGGGAAAATGTGAGGGGAAAATGGAGGGAAATGTGAGGGGAAAATGGCGGCGAACGTGAGGGGATAAAAGGGCGGGAAAACGTGAGGGGAAAATGGAGGGAAACGTGAGGATAATTAGGGGAAATGTGAGGGGAAAATGGGGGAAAAACATGAGGGAAAAAATGGTGAGAAATGTCAGGGGAAAAAGGGGAAATGTGAGGGGAGAAAAGAACAGGAAACGTGAGGGGAAAAGGGTGAGAAATGTGAGGGGAAATGGAGGGAAACGTGAAGAGGGAATTGGGGAAATGTGAGGGGAGAAAATGGCGGGAAACGTGAGGGGAAAAAGGAGAAAATGTGAGGAAAAAGCATCAGAAATGTGAGGTAAGAGTGGGGGGAATGTGAGGGGTCTGGGTGCGGCTGGTTTTGGGCTGTTTTTGTGTGGTTTCTGGATGTTTTTGGGTGGTTTTGGGCGGGTTTTGGCTGAATTTTGGGTGGTTTATGGTGGATTTTGGGTGGTTTAGGGCTGGTTTTGGGCGGATTTTGGGTGTTTTTGGGGTCACTCACGAATCTCTCCAGCTCGAGCCGCGCCGGCCGCTCCGCGCTGCGCTCCTGGCGCTGGGGGGAGGGACGGAGTGACCCTGAGTGACCCCTGACCTCTGAGTGACCTCTGAGTGACCCTGAGTGACCTCTGACCTCAGCCCCCCAAATTTCCCCATTTTCCCCTCAAACATTTTTCCCCCATTTTCTCCCAATTTCCCCCAGTTTTGGGGGATTTTCTGACCCCGGGTGACCCTGAGTGACCCCTGACCTCAGCCCCCTAAATTTCCCCCTTTTTTTCCCCAAATTTCCCCATTTTTTCCCCATTTTATTCAATTTTTCTCCCATTTTTTCCCCAATTTTCTCCTAGATTTCCCCCGTTTTTTGGGGGGTTTCTGACCCCCGGGTGCCCCCTGACCTGGGTGAGCCTCTCCAGCTCCAGCCGGCTCTGGGTCAGCGCCAGCTCCGCCTCCTGCAGCTGCTCCCGAATCCGCTCGTTTTCCACCCAAAGCTCCTGGAACAGCTGGGGGGGGGGAGGGGCACGGCTGAGCCCCG